GGGAATAAACTTGTGTGCGAGCCCCCTGACAATGGCGTGGGCGTGTTGGGGTTTGCAGCCAACACGAGCGACAATCTCTCGTGCGTCCATGGCCAAGATGTCATCCCATGACGGCGCCAGCACAGCCAGCATGCTGGCAGTCAGCCACCCGCACCCAGACACAAGCTCAAGCACCTGTGATAACTACACACCAGATCCAACACACACACACACACACACATACACACATTCATCAGCGGACGTGAGTCAATACACGCTGACGATGCTCAACGACACAGGTGTTAACACACAAGTACACACACACACACACACAAGAACACACAAGAACACACACACACACACACACACACACACACACACACACACACACACACACACACACACACACACACACGTACACACAAGTAAACCCCCCCCCCAACACACAAAGAGCACATGCCAACCTGCTGGGTGTGGGAGTGTGCGCAGGCGTCTGCAAACGTGCGCGTGAGGGCGAGACCTTTACCGAGTTCGCCCTGCATGAGCTGCGTCACAAACGCGGCCGTGTCTGAAGGCGACAGCGACGTGATGACAATTGCCCGCACGTGTGTCAGCTGGGCCAGGTGGTGGTGGTACGCCTTGTGCGCTTCATAGCGGTGGCGGACGGGCAGCTGTGCGCATGGTGGCATGTGTGAGCAAAGGCGAAGAAACGCAAACTTGGACGCAGAAGCACCAAACCACACAAAGAAAGCTGCTGTGTACCAATACACACACACCCACACACCCACCCACACACAATGCACGCAACCCCTTCCCTCCCCCTCCCAAATACCACCGTCGCCTCACCTCTTCGTGTGCACCCTTCTGGCGATGCCGGCCCTTGGCGGCGTTCTTGTCGCGTTGGTACTCGACAATCACGTAGAAGCGGTCGTACGCAGCCACGCTGGCAAGTACCAAATCACGCAGGGCAGGCCTGCTGCTCCAGCCGATTACGTCAGCCTGGGCCAGGCGGAGCACAGCCATGCGCGTGCTCAGCACAAACGACGGCGACCTCGCATCCATCGCAACAACGCACGTGTCGAGGTGGTGGTGGTCGCGCAGGTGCGAAATCACCTCGCCATTTGACTGTAGTTGCCGCGTGTTGATGAAGACACACGCCCCCTCCTGCACCGCCGTCACCAGCCCGCGCTGCTCGAGGTCTCGGCGCAACGCAGGAGCCATGCCAGGCCGCTTCGTATCCTTCTTCTGTTGCTGTACGTGTTGCTGTACGTGTTGCTGTACGTGTTGCTGGTGCTGTACGTGGTCATCTGCCTCCTGCTTGACACGTGCGGCACCACCATCACCTCCATCACCTTCCTCTCCATCACCTGCACCACCACCTCCACCTGCACCTCCATCACCACCACCACCACCACCGCTGCCACCGCTGCCACCTTCACCACCTCCACCACCTCGCTGGGATCGGGCCCGCGTGCGCAAGTTGAGGGCACGGCGCGGTCGTTTCGACGGCGACGATAATGACGATAATGACGATGATGACGATAATGACGATGATGACGATGATGGCACCACGCAGGATGTTGAAGCAGCCGTAGTCAATACGACCGTCGTTGCTCCACGCTTCGCGGTCGCTGTCCCACGCTTCGCGGTTGCCGAAGACGGCACCGCTGGTGCATCCGTGTGCATTCCTCTTCCAGTAAACTTGAGGGACTGCAGCATGGCGTCCACGTTCACATCACCACCATCACCCCCATCACCACCATCGCCACCACCATCACCTCCGTGCTCATTGTTACCCTCGGCAACTGTTTCCAGACCGATACGCATGCCTTTCCTTTCATCCCGCTTTGCCCGCTTTCTCACCTGCCCATCCCCATCACCGCGCGCGCTGGTGTGGTCTGCCTTCTTCCCCGCCCTCGCCACTGTTGCCACTGTTGCCGTTGTTACTGCCGTTCCCAATCTGCCCACGCCATCATCATCAGCATCATCAGCATCCTTGCAAGCCTCCTTCAGCCGCGTCTGTACTGCTGCTGCTCCTGCATGCCTATTTCCCCGATCACTCACACCATCCCCACCATCCACCGCCTCCTCACCACCCCCACCACCACCCCCACCACCACCCCCACCACCACGTCTATCATCATCATCAGCGTCAGCTTCGCCGGTTGCCCGGGCCACACCCTCCACTTCCTCCGCCGCGCCCCACAGCAGCGCGTCCTCCTCCTCTTCGTCGGCGTGCACGATAAACCCGTCTCCTTCGTCGTAGCTGTCGAGGTCGGCATCGCCGTCACCTGCAGTGCACACCACCTCGTCTTCATCTCCAAAGAAGGTGCCCACAAACGCGCTCCCATCCTCCCCTTCACCATCACCATCGTCGCCATCACCATCATCGCCACCACCAGCACTGCGATTGCGCAGGCCACGAGCAGTGCCACGACCACCGCCTTCAAGGGCATCTGCCAGTGCCATGTATCGCTGCAGGTTTGGCATTGGCCCCACCCGGCTCAGCCGCATGTTCCCGCACACCTGGGACAACAGCCCGCGCCTCGACCCGCCACGCACTGCTCCTCGCTGACCACGCGGCACGTGCCTGCTGGGTCCCCCCACCGATGGCGACACGAGCGACTGGCGATAGATGGCAGCCATGCCCTGGGTTGTTGGTGGCGTGGCAGGGTTGCTGCTGCGACGGCGCCGGCGGTGGCGCGTGCTTGTTTCGCCGGGGGTGAGCTGCTGTGATGAGGACGCATCATCAATGAAACTGTCCTGTGAATCGTACTTGTTCACGTCAATCATGCCTTCCTCCTCATCGTCATCATCATAATCTTCGTCATCATATTCTTCACCATGTTGTTCTTCATCGTCGCCATCATCTTTGCTGCCCTTACGACTGTTTCTCTTCACCTTCCATCCTGGACTCTCAAAGTCATCATCATCCTCGTCATCCTCGTCATCGTCAGCACCACCGCCTTTCGATTCCCTCGTCTGTTTGTTCTTCTTCTTCTTCATCTTCATCATCTGCTTCTTCTGCTTCTTGTCCCTCGTCCGCCTGCGCCGTTGCCTCTCCTGCTCCATCAGCGCCGCCACCTCATCATCATCGTCGTCGTCCCCCTCCTCCGCTTCGTCGTCCAGCCAGTACCGCGCAGCGCCGCGACTGTTGCTGCTGCTGCGGGTTGATACACGCATCCGTCGCCTGCTCTTCCCACTGTTACCTGTGCTACCACCACCATCACCATCACCACCACCAACATGACGCCGGCGTCGTGCCTTGTGGTCGTTTGTCGAAGCCAACACTGCGGTCTTCTTCTTCTTGTCCGCGTTTCCATTGCTCGTGCGAGATGCCCGAATCACGACATTTGCCAATTTCTCGGGTGAGCTGTCCTCATCCGTGTCATGTGCTGCTGCCACCACCACCCTCCGACGGCCTTGCTGCTGCCGGTGCTGTGACTGTGGAGACTGGCTCAACCCGTTCTGCTGTCGCTGCTGTCGCTGCTGTCGCTGCTGTCGCTGCGTTCCACGACCGTTGTTCGCAGCCGGGGACTGCGATGGTGATTGCGAGTCGTGCAGGAACATGGCGCGCTGGCGCTGCGCTGGGCGAAGCACGACAGGGGACGGCGTCGTGGCTGCAGAGGCCGTGGCGACAGGCGTGGAGGGCGTGTTGTGATTGTTGTGACTGTTGTCGTTCATCTCAGCGTTTGTGAGTGGTACGCCCGTTGTTATCGCTGCTGCTGTGCCGGGTTCAAGCCCAACACCAACCTCGTTGCCGTTGTTGCAGAGCTGCTCCACATTGTCAACCTCAGCAGCAAGTAAAGCGTCATCATCCCCAGCACCAGCAGCAGCTGCATCATCATCATCATCATTGTCATCGTCATCATCATCCAGGAGCGCGTGTGCCCGGAATGTGGAGCTCGGCTCTGGCGTTCCTTCAAAACCAGCGTTGCCGTCACCATCTTCATCACCTCCGCCACCATCACCACCACTGCCCTCCTCCTCATCGCTGGTGTCTGTGCCGGCTGCAAGGGCAGCGGCAATAGCAGCCTGTGCCTCTGCTTCATCATCGTCAACAGCAACCGCCACATCTTCCTTCACATCATCATCATCATCATCATCATCATTCATGCCCACAGCCGCACTGGGGTGATGAAGGATGGTGGTCATCGTGGTCGTGCCTTGATCAAGCACAGCCACGCTGGTGGTGGTTTCACTCATGTTGCCAGCACGAGGGCTGTCTGCAAACTGCTGGCTCGTCTCCAACCCACGTTGTTTCTTCTCATCATCACCATCACCACTACCACCACCATGATCACCATCATCATAATCATCATCATCATCATCATCATGGTCATCGTCGGTGTCGTCCAGGAGATCCCGAATGCCCATTGCAATCTCTTGCTGCTCAATTTGATTCAAAATCGCCGCATCTGCGAAGAACGAGTCATCATCGTCATCGTCATCGTCATCATCATGAGCGGTGGTGTGAGGCAATGGCTGCCCAGTTCCTGTTGCTGTTGTTGCTGCATGAATAGCTGCTGTTGATGGTGGCGATGGATGGACGGCTGCTGTTGGTGCTGTTTGATCATCGACATGTGCAGAGATGCCATCGTGTACACTCACGCATTCACTCGCCCCTTCCCCACCATCACCACCATCACCACCTGCACTGTTGTAGCTGTCATCGTCGTCACTGTCGGACGCCATCAGCAGCGCCTCCAAGTGGGGCTTCATGGACACAACAGTCTGTGACCTGTTGTCACCATCATCCTCCTCCTCCCCCTCATGCTGACCACCATCATCATCAAGTGGGATGCCACCAGTCACCTCTGCAGTTGCCGCGTCTGCACCACCCTTGCTTGCGGCGTCCAACTCTTGTTCTCGCTCGCTGTCATTCTCCTCATCAGTGTCGAGAAGCGACAACAACTGCAAATCAGATGCGCCTTCCAGCCCAAGCGCACTCAGCGCTTGTTGTTGTTGTTGTTGTTGTTGTTGTTGTTGTTGTTGTTGTTGTTGTTGTTGTTGTTGTTGTTGTTGTTGTTGTTGTTGTTGTTGTTGTTGTTGTTGCTGTTGGTTTTCATGCACCTTCGCTGCCTTGATTGCGCAAGCCATGCTGTCATGTACACCATCCCCACTCTCATCAGCATCACCATGCTTCTCCACGCCACGACACTCAGCATTCCGCACACGCGTCTCTGCTGCCACCTCATGCAGTGCAAGTGCAAACACGTCTCTCTGCCACGATGCAAGCGACGGCCACAGCACATGTGGCAGCGCTGCGGTTGCTGTTGCACACGACGATGATGATGACGCTGGTGAAGATTCCGAGGAAGACACAGTGGAGGAACCGCACGAATAACGCGATGACAGCGGTGAAAACTGCTGCTGCTGCTGCTGTTGTTGTTGTTGTTGTTGTTCAAGGTCGTCGTCATGATTGAGCGTGTCGATGCCGTCAATGTCAGCGGCACTGGCTGCGCTGTGGATGACGGTTGCCCTTCCAGCGCGCGAGATGCTGTGCTGCTCGCCTCCAATGCTCGGGCGGGGGCGTGTGCTGCGCTGCACCGTGTCTGTTCTCGCACCACACTGCCGCCGCTGCCTGTCTTGCTCCTGCACTGCTGCGCGATCACCGCCATCGCCACCGCCATTAACAGCGCGCGACTGCAAACCGGGAAACTTTGGCAGAAGTGCGAGCACACGCGCACCGCGAGACACAGAGGAAGACAAAGGTGATGTCGGTGCCGGTGCCGGTGCTGTAGTGATGCAGCGACGAAGCGGCGACTGCTGGTGATGGCGCGGCGGGCTGCGATTGCGGCGTTGCTGGTTGCTGCTGCTGCCGCCGATGCTGCCGCCAATGCTGCGGCTATCAGCATCACCACCACCAACAACAACAACAGCACCTGCACCACCGCGGTCACTCCCACCGTTGCGGTGGTTTTTCGACGGAGACGTATCTGTCACTGACAGCGGGGTCATTGGAGGCGAAGGCGGTTCCCACTCCCAATCAAACACCTGCCCATCATCACCACCATCGTCCTCACGGCCACCACCACCACCACCACCCCCACCCCCACCACTATCATCATCATCCTGCACAGCAGACGCAGCAGATGCAGCAGTAGCAGTGACATGCTGGGCGTCAGCAGCGTTCGTGCTCTCACCGCCATGGCCCTCGCCGGCATCGACGTCAGCATTGGTGGATGTGGTGGCGTTTGCGCCTACGATATCCGCTGCTGTTGTTGTTGAGAAGAGCAGCGACACCGGCAGCTCATCCCGATCATTGCCATCATCCTCATCATTGCCACCGTTGTCGCCTTTGCCACTGTTCGTGGCTGTCTTCCTCGCCTGCTTGGCCTGCTTGGCCTTGCTGTCTGCGCTCCGTCGACTGCCACCACGGCCTTTCTTCGGTAATGGCGCTGCCCGCTTGACCGGTGATCGTGATCGTGATCGCGATCGTGATCGTGATCGTGATGGCCCTGAGTTGCGCGATTGGCGCTGCTGGCGTCGCTCCTTCCTTGCTGCAGGGGACGGCGTGCGAGACATCGACGACGACGCTGATGATGCTGCTGCTGCTGTTGAGGAGGATGTGTGAAGCCGCCCCGGCCGTTGTGGGGACACTTCCGTGAACAACCCACCGCCACCACCAGTGGCAGTAGCAGTAGCGGGTTGGTTTGGACCACCAGCACTCGCACCATCACCATCACCATCACCATCGCCACGACCACTTTCGTCATCATCAGCGTTGTCGTCGTCACCATCATCATCATCGACATCGGCGTCAACACCCTCTACCTGCGTGCCGAGATCAAGATCCAACATGGGGGCCTTCTTCTTCTTCTTCTTCTTCTTCTTCTTGTTCTTCTTTCCCTTGGCCTTCGTGCGTGCTGTTGCTTTCGCCTGGCGCTGCCGTCCCACTGCACCTCCTCTCCGACCCCCTCCCCCACCATCGACACCACCATAGTCATCGGCGTCATCGCCGTCATCATCGTCGGTGTGGTCCGTGTCTGCTGTACCGCCTGATGCCTCCATGTGCGCCCTCACTGCCGCCGCTGCCCGTCGCCTTCGCCGCGCCTGTCGTCGGAGCTCCTCAGCACTCGCCACAGCACCACCGTCCATGCCACGATCACCACCACCACCACCACCACCACCACCAGCATCATCATCATCATAACCATCATCATCATCATCATCATCATCGCCATCAAAGCCGTCGTCGTCGTCGTCCAGATCCAACCCAGCACCTCTCCTCCCCTTCCTCTTCCTCGCCGCCTTCTGCTTCCCCTGCTGCTTTGGGTTGTCCTGGCTTGGCGGTGCCCAGTCGTGGGTGATGGGTGTGAATGAGAATTTGCGGACCTGCAGCGTTGTTCCCGGTGGCAGCATGCGCGGGTTATGCGGGTACAGCTGGAACTTCTTTGCGGCATTGACAATGGCCTGGCGAATGTTGGTGCTCGCCGCTGTGCTGCGCCGGTAGTTGTTCACCTCCGACCCTTCGCACAACAGCTGCACGATGCGCCCATTCCGCTTTCGCCCTGCGCACGCGTGTGCGCGTATGTGTGTGTGTGATTGTGTGTGTGTGTGTGTGGTTGTGGTTGTATGTGTGTGTGGTTGTGATCGTGTGTGTGTGTGTGTGGTTGTGTGTGGTTGTGTGTGTATGCGTGAGCAAGTCTGCGGGGCTCAACCATCGACACATGCACACGAACACCGCACACACGCGTACAGTCAGCACACCAAGTACCTGTTCTGCCCATGCGCTGGATGAGGCGCGTGGACGAGCCTTTGGAATCGAAGCAGATGATGAGATCAACGTGCCCAATGTCAAGCCCCTGTGCACAGAACATGGGCGCAGACACGCGGAGGGTCAAGCAGTGAGGATGCTGTGTTGCCAGTGTTGTGCAAAAGATGCAAAACAATGAGTGAGGAGTGCGCGCATGCGTGACATCTGCATGCCAACAGATGACACAAGATCGCACCTCTTCACCAACACACGTTGCAACGAGTGTGTTGTGGACACCGGCGCGGAAATTGCTCACAACCGCAATTTGCTGCAGCGGCCAAAGCGCGGCACATGTGATGTCAGGCAAACGATCGTGTCAACTCTCGTCAGTCAGAATGTTCATGTGTAAAGGCACAAGCGAGAGCGCGTGAAACGCAAGAAGCCACGAACACATGAAAAGTACACGCACACACACACACACACACACACACACACACACACACACACACACACACACACACACACACACACACACACGAATGCATATTGACGGACCTCGCTTTGCTTCTGGCCCTTTTTCGATTTGGATTTCCCAGACGCCTGGCCGACAAACGACGCAACGCGAATCAGGGGCTTGTGTTTCCCGAGAACGTTCACAATGTCCACGACAGAGTCACGATAGGACGAAAACACAATCACGCGCGTGTCCTTGTGCTTCGTTTCGCGAAAGTGCTTCGTCACAATCTCCTCCAGCTTCTCCAACTTCGGGTGGCCCTTGTGCGCTTGCGCTTGCTCCTCTGCATGGAAGAGGGGAGGGGAGAGGGGGGATGGGTGTGCGTGAGTGTGTGTGAACATGTGAGATGTTTGTGTGTGTGTGTGTGTGCGTGTGTGTGTGAACGTGTGAAAGGTTTGTGTGTGTGTGTGTGCGTGTGTGTGTGAACGTGTGAAAGGTTTGTGTGTGTGTGTGTGTGTGTGATTGAGTTTGAGCGTGCCTTGCTTGGTGAACGTACAAGCGACAACATGAGGGCGGACCAACGCACAGCGACGAAACACAGCCATCAAACACAGCGCGTGTGTCGATCGCACCTTCCACAATTTTCTTCAGCTTGGCCACCATGTTCATCACTTCCTGGCTCTTCTTCATCTGCTGACCTGTCGACGGTGCGCATAGAGCAGACATGACATCAGGCATGTGAGCTGACATGAGACCACAACACAAGCACACACACACACACACAAACACAAATGCACACACACACACACACACACACACACACACACACACAAATGCACACACACACACCGCCTCGCACGGACCGAGTCGCGGGTTCTTCTCGCCGTTGAGATAGGATGTGATGGAGCGGTAGAAGGGCGTGACGCCGTGTGTGCGCAGCATCGTGCACGAATACGCCAGCGAGATTGCCATCGCAAAGTCACCCTCAACCTGCCCCTTTTGCCTGCAGTGTGTGCGTGTGTGCATGAGAGAGGCGACAAATAGACCGGCAGACAGGGGGGAGAAGTCATGTCACGTGGTGTTCGATGACCAGGTTCGCGCCAGCGTTTGTGCTGGAATCCCGACGCAACTGTATCAAAGCAATGAAGAGGGCAGTGAACACGAGCGTACAACGGCCAGCCGAAACACAACGCATTGGTGGACGTACGCGGCAGACGTTGCGGTGTTGCCCCTGCGAAACAGATCCCGCGCTTTCAGGAGTGCAAACGAGGACACTTTGCTCGGGTTCTGCGTCCAGACATGTGTGCGTGAGGTGACGCGCCATGGGTGAATGCGGGAGACAGTGCATGCACACATACACACACACGCATGCACGGCAGTGCATGACCCCCACACATCAACGTGAGCAAGCAAACAACCAAGCGACTGATGGAAAGCAGTGACCTTCGCACCATTTTGCGGATGGCGCGTGCGCGTGTGAGGCGATCAAGGAATGTGCCCAGCATCTTGTCAATGGTGGGCTGAAACTCAGACACCTCGCCACTCGGCTTGATCACAACCAGCTCAACCTGTATGCGCGTGTGAATGTGAATGGGTGGTGTGCGTGCATGTGTGTGAATGTGTACACAGGTATACCTTTCATCAGTTTCTGTTGGCAGTGGGCCACTACCACACACACACACACACATACACACACATACACACACATACACACACACACGCACACACACACGCACACACGAACACACACACGCACACACACACACACACACACACACGAACGCGTGCGCACACACACGAACGCGTGCGCATATGTACACACCTTGCGCTGGTTGGTGTATGGACGAATGTCGATGGACGATTCACTC